CTATACACGATGACGTAAAAAGGGAACACCCAGAGGAAATTCTGCTGCTTCAGCACATCGACGGCTCATTATCATGCAAATCTGACCCGGGGAAAATGCAGCCAGGCATGAAATCCCTTCGCCCTACTATTTTCTCTCTATCTCTCCTCTTTGTCATCAAGGGCTGGCCTGAGGGGCCACACACACACACACACACACACACAAAGAAGTAAAAGTGGAATTAATGCCCCCAACCCAACCCAACCCTGAGATGCCCAAAAATATCCGGCAGTCTTATTCAGAAGGGAAGCAGAAGAAGACGACGACGACTGATGCTTAGGAAAAGGATCGAGGGTTAAGTGAAAGAAGAAGAAGAAGAAGCTGACAGACATGTACACAGAGGGAGAGGAGAAGAAGAAGAAGAAGACTCGAGTCTCTCGTCGTCGTCGTCTTCGTCGGCAGCAGCAGCAGCAGCAGCAGCATCACCAACTGATTTCTTGGCTTCTTGCCATCGTCGTCGTCGTCGTCCCGCCGACTCCTGTCACCAGGAAGCCCTTCCTTTACCCCCCAGCACCACTCCTCCACCAAGCAGCAGCACACAACCTGATCCAGATTATATTCTTCCTTTTCTCTTTCTCTCTTTATACCCCAATAAGCAGCAACAACAAGAAAAAAATCAAATAGATACAGTACATCTCTAAAAAAAAAAGAGAAGAAAAAAGGAAGGGACGGGATGAGGGGAGAAACATAGAACCCAAAACCCTCCTCCCCCTCACACTCGACTCGACTCGACCCGACCCGACCAAATACCCATGGAAAAAAATAAAAAATAAAAATAAAACAAAGTTGACCCGAGGAAGGCGTCGCGGGGGTGAATACGAAAAGAAAATAAAAACATCTCGAATAGCACACCAAGTTCAAACACAAAATTGAAACGTTTCAAAAGAAAACTGCTCATTTTCCAATTTAAAAAAAGAAAGAAATCGACTGATTAATTATCATGATGAACACACGTCAATGATTTAACATCAACAAAGACGAGACACATATTACCTGCACTGTTGAATGTTTCTCAGAATTGATCCAGAGTTTATTGTGGTTATTTATCAACAAGACTTGCAACATTTGGCAAGACTTCCGTTTGGGCATAATTTCTTTTTTTTTCTGACAATAACTGCCACAAAATACAGTCAAGCCTCAATTCTGAACAACCCTTGCATAGTGCTACAAATATCCCAGGAATAAATCTCTCTTCATTGGGTTCTTATGGGAAGCCCCAATTTAGTGCCAACTCACTTAGTGAAAGAAAATGGCTTGTCCTTGTTGAAGAATATGCTATATATTATCAGCAGGCTATTATTGAGAATCACATACACATGCTCAGGATAAGTAAACAATTTTACTTCTGAATTTGCATGCAATTGGGTGGCTAATAATTTCCATGTGTCCTCCACAGCAGAGCCTATCATAAGCAGGAAAAGTCTGTTGAAAAAAATTAAACATCACTCACTAAACATGATCTTGGAATGTTATGTCTTGAGAAAAATATTCTGTCCTAGGAAATAAATTTAAAATGTTATTGGTGAAAATTATGTGATATAATTCCCCAATATAAATGCAAGAATATTCGCATCACTGCGGATATATAAATTTGGTGTTATCAATAACACCAGGAAGAGACAATAGATTAATATAAAGAAATCTATTAATATTCTTCCATCCCAGTACATGTGTACTAATTGACACGTGCACGTACCCCCAACAACACGCACATAGCAACCCCCTAACTGTGTAGTAACCCCCAGCACGTGGAAGTTGTAAAAAGACACCTGCACCCGCGCACACAGGTGTCCTTCCCCTTCCTGGTTTTACCCCCAAATCCACGGTATATAAACCCCTGGTCAGATTAAGGAAAGACAGGCATTTTAGCTCAGGAGTCATTTAGAATCAGAGTCATCAGGTCCCAATAGATTACTTGAAGATCCCTGTGTCTTGTGGTTAATTGGTTACACTGTGGTGTGCATACTTCTTATTGAATAAAGACTATTTTTGTCTGGCAAAGACTTTCTTAGTTGAGCATTTCCCAACCTCAATAAAAGGGAACACATGTACATCTATACGTTTCCAGGGATAACGAAATGTAAAAAACATTTCATTTGAACCTCCAATTATGCTTGAGTCTTACTCTTTTATAAAGCAGTCTCAATAGCCACTAAGTCTGAAGAAAACTTCTATTTATTTTTACTTGAAATAGATGCCTTTGAACTGATTGTAATCTCATATACAATATCCGTCAATTTAGTGCCCCAAAATTGGCAAGGACAAACAATGGCACTAAGTCAGGGTTTGGCTGTAAAGTGTATGTTGTTTATTTTTATTTCAATGTTTAAGATTTAATTTTAGCTAGTTGAGGCAACAACATTTTTGCGGGTGATTTTGTGCATAGTGAAGGAAAGTTTTTTTTTAAGATGCATTCTTTTACTGGTTGCAAACGTGTTTCTGGTCCTGGATAAAATTTTCAATATATGTGTGTGCACAAATAGTCAGTCCACGCGTGTGCAGGCAATAAAACGGCGCGTATATTTGCAATGCTAAATAGAGAAGTACGTATATACGGTATGTGCAGCAGACACAGCATTCCATTCCGAGGCAGGACAGCATTTTCTTGCCATCATTGATTTCATTCCAGTACTGCTTTCGTATCTCTCTCTCTTTCTCTCTCTCATCCGCCCATCTTTATCTCTTTCTATCCCGCATTCCTCGATTTCAAGGAAAATCTCTGGGGGACTTTCACATGTGGTCGGTGGTTCTGCTGCTGCTCTGTTGGGAATTTTCAATTTTCGTGCCCGAGGCCAAGTTTACTTTTGATCACCTCGAGAAACTTTTCCTTTTGAGGGAAAACGGGGCAACTTCTCTCTGCTGCCGATGCGGGACCTGCTGTTGCCAAGTGGTGGTGCTGAGGTGTATATGAAGGGGGTTTCTTTTTTTCTTCTTCTTCTTCTTTTACTGGTAAATTTATTTATTCATCAGTTGTAACCGCCAATATATCGAGAGTGATGGAAGGCGTTACTTTTTTAAAGTTTTGGATTTTTTTTTTGAAGGGGGTTTCTTTTTTTTTCTTTTTCTTCTTTTACTGGTAAATTTATTTATTCATCAGTTGTAACCGCCAATATATCGAGAGTGATGGAAGGCGTTAATTTTTTAAAGTTTTGGATTTTTTTTGGTTTTTGTTATGCACTTCTTTTTAATGTGCATGATTTTCGATTATTCCGTTGAGTTGAATTTGTGAGGATAAATGTTTTGTTATCCTGGAAAAGCAGGAAGTGCTTTTCTCTGGTTATTCTCAAAGACCACTCCCAATATTCAACCTTCCTGTGTGAGATGCAAGTCATTGTTATTCTAAAGTTAAAGGTTAACCTTGTCAAGAATAAATGATTCTTGAGAGGAACACCCTCTTTGCTGTATAGTGGAATTGAAGGGGGTTTCTTTTTTTCTTCTTCTTCTTCTTTTACTGGTAAATTTATTTATTCATCAGTTGTAACCGCCAATATATCGAGAGTGATGGAAGGCGTTACTTTTTTAAAGTTTTGGATTTTTTTTTGGTTTTTGTTATGCACTTCTTTTTAATGTGCATGATTTTCGATTATTCCGTTGAGTTGAATTTGTGAGGATAAATATTTCCTTAGGAAATTTGGAAAAGAAAGCAGGTAAATTTTTGTTTATTTTGTTATTCATGCAGGTATGCGCTGAAGTAGTATTTTTTTGGCGCTGTATTTCAAAGATATTTTCCAGCATCGCAGATCAGAGGTTTGCTTTAAAATCCCACTTTTCGGCTGAAGACAGGAAGAAAGTTTGGAATGAATCCGTACTGTTGTACATACATCTATCTATCTATCTATCTATACTATACCTTCCTCTCCCGTATCTGTGTGGAAATGATTTTCTCGTTTTCTCTGCCCACGATATAGAGAATCCCTTATTTTGGCAGGGAAATATGAGTTTCCGGCATTGAAATCCAAAAGTTCGATTGAAAGCTCTTGCTTCCAGAGAACCTTTCTTGCTTCCTTGCAACTTCACACACACACACACGCAGAGACAGAGACAGGGAGAGAGAGAGATTTTGAAATGAGAAGAAGAAGAAGAATAAAAGAAATACGAGGTCGTGGTTTTGGTCGAGAGTGCTGCTGATTTCATGGCACACAGGGATTGAGCGAGGGGGTGAACAAGAGGATCCCTATATAACCCACCCACCCCCCCACTCCTCTTTTTCGGGGATCCTCATTAGTCGGGATCAGGATGATCCTCACCTCGCTGCCCAGCAGAGCCCGAGTGTGGTCTGGTCTTGGTCCTCATCCTGCTCCTGATGGATTCCTATATAGGGATGTGTTTTCTTCTCTTTCTTTTCATTCTTTTTTTTTTTCTTTCATCTTGATGGTCGCCCTCATCCACACGCTTTTTTTTTTTCTGTACTGTATATACTATGTATCGTATTAATAATACCTGGCGAGGATCCCTTATTTGAAGCACATGAGAATTTTTTATTTTCAGAATGAGGCGAGAGTGAAAATGTGTCCAGAGGGAGAGAGAGAAAGAGATAAACAAAGAGGGATGTGGTGCTTTGATCTGTATGGGATCAACTTTTGGCAGAATTTATTTTGTTTTATTTCAAATAATGCGCTGAATATTTATGCCTAAAATATGTGAGTATTGATATGATGCTGCTTAGTGAATTCATGGAAAATCGAGGCAAATTGTTTCAAGTATTTTAGCAGACTTTGATTACATGACAAGAAAATATAAAGAATTCCACACTTCTCCCAAATTGTTTTTTATTGCATTTATTAATCTACATCTGAAAACTTACTTTGATGAGAAGATTTCTTATTCTCAGTGCCAGGTTGTGTCAAATGATACTCCTATATGTAATTCTTATGAAATAATATCAAGTATATACATTATTTCTCGCAATTCAGCAGAACAAAGGACAGCATGCACTTCTCGCTTCAAGCAATTTGTAAGCAATGGCCATGTTTACATGGAAAGGCAGATGGCTTTGTAGATTTTGCAGTCCAAAATCGGGCGAGACTGGTCAGATCCTGATCTGACCTTATTTCGAGGGAAACATATGCATCTGCTTTAAACCTTGAGCCGCAAAATCGGGATATTTTTGTGCCAATGAGCAGTGAAAATTTAAGAAAAATCGATTTTTGCACCAGGGCCTAAATATGTCAGAAAAAAGGTTTATATTTTTTTTCTAATCCTGCAAAAAAATGTGCCTGAAAAATCCTCACTGGGTGGCTTTTTTTCAGGAATTGCTTTGCATAGGATTAGCATCAGAAATTTCAGAGCACAAAAGGATTCACCCTTCCTGGAGTTTTCCCATCTTAGGCCTTGGCAACCTAGGCACATTTCAGTGACCTTTGGTCAAACTGAGATGCCCCTCCCCCCAAACAAAGCCTGACTTTTGCCAGAGGATGGCCGGGAATCTTCTGCCCTCCAAGGGTTTAGTGTCATCTGCTAGCAATAAGATGAAATGAAAGCGTTTTGATGACAAGTATAAACCATTTTTCTAGTAATTGTTTCTCAGATGATTTTGAAATGGTTGTAGGGTATCCATCAATTTGCATTGAGAAAATTACTACTTTATCATGCATTGAATTAATTTTACTTTTTGCAATATACTATGGTGAATTGTTTCTCTCATGATTAGATGGATTACACTAAGTAACCATTGCTGCTAAGCATTTGCATTGATCGAATAATCAAGTGATCATTAAAAACTGTAGGATGTAAAGATTTTTTGAGTTTTGGAGGAAATTTTGTAAATTTCAGTGTGAATTCCTGAACTTCATAATCCTTTTAAAAGACAAATACAGTATTGTACCACATTTCTTGCGCATAAAGTCAATAGTAATTTGCTGTAATATTCTGGAACATGTACCAACGAATAATTATCAATTTTGAAAAAAATGTTTGAAATCAATAAAGTAAAAAAATGCAATTATTGAGCTCTTAAAATGTTTCCTGGATAATGCAGATCGATGCTGTCAAAATTTTATTAATCAGTTGAGGGGGGGGGGATAGAAGCAACTTGGATGAAAATGATCATTGTCTCTATATAAGCATGCTAAATTATTGATGAAACAATCACCGCTTTTTTTTCAAAATAAACTCCATGTGGTTTATTTTTATTTATTCTGAAACCCCTATTGTTTAGATCATTTCAGGATTCCCCAACCTTCACTCTATTTCGGTCTTCCTCAATTTTCTGATGACACTGATTTTTGTGATCATATTGCCAATCTGGAAGAAATTAATTTGCAATCATTTCATAACTTTCTTGCATGTAAAAACGCTTTCATTGATGACCTTTATCCAGTTTTGTTTTCGATTCAGCCATGAACTTTGAACATTGTTCAAGGAGGTAGGAATAACGTCAATGAGGGGGGTTTTGTTTCCGGTTTGCTTCATACCCTATACTGAGGCATGTTTTCGTGATTACTGTCATTATTATTATTATTATTATTATTATTATTCTGTTATTGCAGCTGTGCTGTTTGCCCTGAAGGTGTTGGTGGCCAGCTACTCGGTGTCGACGCTGGTGCACCTGATGCCGGGTGTCGTGGTACCATCCACTTGGGCCTACTGGCTGGAACTGGTGCTCATCCAGATCATGGTGCCCAATGCGAGTTTCATCGGCCACTTGGCCGGCATTCTCGTCGGCGTCCTTTTCGTCAAGGGCCCATTGAAGCTGGTGATGGACCTGCCGTACATCCTGCTCACTGGTCGCATGACTCCAGGTGAGTGAGACACCACGAGGCAATTTATATCTTTCTTTTCTTTCTTTTTTTTTAAATTACCTTGTTATTTTTCCATAATATGGGATTTTTAATTCGTTTGATGATGATGATGATGATGATTGGGATGGTACATTTGAGCGCGTGTCGAAAGAAAACGGCGTGTAAATATTTGGTTTGAGGAGAGGACAAAAACACAATCCCTTGTTTATTTTTTATGAACATGTTTGTTTTTGTATACATTTCGGTCCTGATTTTAAAGTATGCACTTTTTTTTCTGAGTTCCAAGTGCCGCCAAAGAAAGGGAAAAAAAACAGAGAGAATTGCTACTCACAATCACTCTTAAATTATTGAAGGAGATGTACAAAATGTCCAAATTATAGGAGGGATTTGATGTGCTGTGGAGCAATAAAACGCGGAAAGTTCTCTTGAGAGAACTGGAAAAATGTGCATGATATGACGCTTAGGGAAATGAAGAATAACGGTCTCCATCAACATTCCTGGCGTAAGACTCATGTATATTTCCTCGACATTCAGACTGAAATTGCACCAATAAAGCAACAATCCACGGATGGGTGGAAAATGCAAGTCAAAGATATAAAATCGAATACCCATCAGTCGTCCTCCCACGATGTTCCGGAAAAAACAGCTCAGCAAAAAAATGAAAAAATAAAATGAAACAATTCCAAAGCCGTCGAATGACAGACAGTTCAAATACCTGAAAATAAATACCCTGAATATCAGGATTTTAAAAGTAACGTTCAATAAGTCACGCAGACTTCATTATACGGTACCGAGTGACAAAAATGAATCAAGTATTGAAATGAAATGTGAAAACGAAAAACACAAAAAAGATCCCCGGATCGAGATGCACGAGGACATGGAAGAGATGGACGTGTTGATGCCGGACGAGGGCAAAAGGAGGCGGGAATATCGACACCGTTTGGAGAAGGAGATCCAAGATCGACAGCGATTTCACGTGGTGTCGTCGTCGATCTTTAGTCACGATGACGAAGATGCCGCTGCTGCTCATAATGCAGCAATAAGGGGGTCATCATCGTCGTCGTCGTCGCGACTACGCAGCAATTATCCCCTAGCACCACCATCATCAGGTCCACCATCATTTTTGCGACTTGATGATCTTATCGAGGGACCTGTAATATCCGCGAAATTTTTCCACATTTGAAGCACGCAAAAAAAAAAAATGCCATATTTTCCCAAATTAGCTCACGTTTCCTATAATAAATACAGTACATCATTACTGTTCAGGTGCTGGACTTTCTTTCCTCTCTTCAACGAAATGCGAGAAACGAGGATAAATTCAATGTGGAGAAGATTTACTTGTAAGGAAACCCCCTTAAAATGGTTCAGTTAAGCCTGTGGGACCGCAAAAAAAAAAAAATCATTGTATGGAGAAAGTCGTTGTAAAGAGAGTCCACGTGTCATTCATTTCACAAAATCTCTTTGTGAGGTTTCGTTTGAGAAGAAAAAACTCTGTGAGAAATTCGTTTGAAGTATCTCTTGTTTTTTTTTCTTTCTGAACAAATTTTTACAAATTAATGTGCTGTTCTCACTTATTGAACAGCACTATATAAAATGTGTCCTAGCTCCTGTTGATGCTGAGATCCAATTTTGTCAAACAGTCAGTCCAACTGAATTCAACGTGTTATGAAATTTGTGTCTATACTCAATCATTTGTCAATTCATGCGATTTATTAACATGCTGGAGGAAAATCACGATTCCGTGAAATCATCATCCAGCTGGATAATACAGGTCCCCCCCTGTCCCTAGGAATATTCGCTCGCCCGCTTCGCTTTTATGATATCGTCGCGTAGATGTCGCGCCAAAGCCGTGAATTTTGTAGCCAGGGCTGGCTGGCTGGCTAGCTAGTCGCATTCTATATACCTATATCCTGCTCTCAACAGTTTTCCAGAGAACTATAAGGGGTGGAAAAGGGGGAGGATTAATGTGTGATGGGGCGAAAGAGAGAGAGAAGGAGGGTGTGGAAGGGAAGAATGTGTTGAGAACACATGACTGGTTCAACGCCACTCCCATTTTGTGGGCGGAGCAGGTGATGCAGCATTCCTGCAATGCTGGTGCTGGACCAGGTCGGTCACACTTATATGCACCATCAGCACTGCATCATCATGGGCTTTGCAAGATTTGCAGGGTGTCTTTATTTGTTCATGGAGCAGGTGGTTCCAATAACTCCTTTTTATGGTCAAGAGTGAAACACTTTATTTGAAGATTTACCTTTTTTTTATGAAATGCTCTCTGATCCTGCTGCTGGGAGTACCACTATTATAGTTAAAGGGTCGTCTTAGAAAATGTCTACCTGATGTATATATGCGTATTGAAGTTGACTTGAGTATTCAAGGAATTATTGCAAGAACAATTTAATTTTGGGTTCTGCACTCTAATGCTTCAATTAAATTGACAAGGAATAATTCACTGCATGTCGTCTTCTTTCCTCAACTATACATATATGGTTTCAACTTTGATTATAGATGAATAAGTCTTTTATTTACCAATCCATCAGCATCCTGAGGTTTTCCTAATGGATCATTTGAAGTACTGTACATAAATTCTGTACCACTTTACCATTTTCCCATCTGTTGTACCATCAAAAGAAACCCCTTCATGAAATAAATGTCCCCCAAAAATCCAATTCTTTATGTATGAGGAAGAATGGTTGCTGCTGATATGAGAAATGAGAGTGAATAAAAAATTAATAATACAGTAGTATTCATCATCAGGTATAGTCACTTGACCAAATATGCTCTATAAAAATGCAATTTTTTGAATCAGAGGTTGATAACTTGGTATGAATTGGAAGAAGTATTTGATTCCTTTTCATTTGATAAAGGGGGAGGATGTGATACTTGAGACAAAATGTTATTTTAAAATAGGGATTATGCAACTTTGCCATGAGACAAAATTACATTCGAGTGTTTCTTTTTTTATGAGCATTTGTGGTTCCTTCATGTTTTAAAATGATTTTTTTAACGCCTGTAAACGCTTCAGATTTATGTGATTCAGTAAACCCTGTTGGTTTCTTGAATTTCACTGGTTTGAATTGCTGATAGCGTCGGTTCAGTTAGCTTGTTGTTTTTCTTTTAACTTTGGCCAGTTTCTGCATATGCTATACGGTATTCATTGCTGTACTGGACATGTACATATGCTGGGCTGTAATTTTCGATGTTCTAATCGTCATATCTTATTGACAGCTGGTTTGGTGCAAGCCGGAGGTTGGTTCAGTGGCCCTTCTTACACATACAGAAGTGGAGTTTCGGGCTTCAGAGAAAGAGAACAAGGGTCGAATGGACAGGACGAGGATCAAGATCTGAATGAAGCTCTAAGAAGGAGCCGGCAAGGTGAGTTAGTTGAACAATCTTGTGTACGGACGCGACATCTAGTGACACGCCTCTCGAATCCCAAGCTGAGATTGCCTCCACTGGACTAGAGGCCGCTAAGAAAGTCCCCCTCCTGTACTGTACAGTGTACATTGTGCGAGGGGTGTTCCAATAGACTTGAAATAAGTCTTTCAAATAACAATTGAAATGATGGAATCTTGGCCGAAATTCGCAAAAATTTTTTTCGGGACATCTGTTACTGTACTATTATCGTGAATAATGTTTCGTGTCCCCCTCAGCCTTTTTCAAGCCATGGGGGAGTGTCGGCGTGGGATTAGGCGCGATGAAGCGACGTCGGTCGTCACTTTCGTCGTCAGGAGGGATCGACAGAAGGGGATCCCCTGTTAGGATCATTCGGCGTTTCAGCTCCAGTTCCTTTCGTCCGAGGAGATCTTCTTGACGAAATGCTTTACTCCGCATGAAAATCTTTACTTTTTTTTTACGAAAATAGGGACGATGCTTTAAAATGCCTACTTTGGGGGGGGGGGGAGTTTCTTGCTTACTGTGTATAAATGGAAATTGGGGATTGTTTCATTATGTCGAAGTAGTTTTTAATTATTTTTTTAAATGGGATGCGAAGACGGGATTATTGTGCGAATCTGTCTTCGAAGAAACTTATTCTTTTTAGCTGAGAATTATTAGTCACGTTTTTTAAATTATTTCCTGTGTTTTTTTTTTTTTGGACTGCGGTGTTCACTGATGTGCATATATAGATTATGAAGCGGAAGAAGAAGAGCAGAGACATTTGCAAGAGGCACTTCTGAGATCGTCGACAACGAGGGGGGATCCTCCGACGATGAGTAGATCACCAACGCTTGAGGACATGGAGGAGTTGCGAAGACGAAGATTGGCGAGATTCCGCAATTAGCGAGACCATACTGTGTCTTCTTCAATTCTTGAAGACTTCATTTTTTTCTTTCTGAGAACTGAGAGTAAACATGAAGAATGAAATTTGATTTTTCGCTGCCAAGAGTCTGTGACAAATTTTCCACCGAAGGTTTCGCAAAAGTTTGTGAAATACAATTTTGCTGATTGAGATGTGTGCTCTTTTTTTTCAATGGGGTAATTCACGCATGAATTATTACGGGTTAATTGAAGCACCAATTTATGTACAGGCTTGTCATTTGGCTGCTTTTCAATGTTCACAAGGTTCAAAATGTTCCCTCATCCCCACCCCTTGCACAGAACTATTCAAACACATTCCAGCCTGTCAGAAGGGAAAGTTAATGCACTGCCTGGATATTGCAAGATAATTCATCACAATACACACGAATGCTTGAGTTGCCATCTTTTTTTGATGACGGAAATGAAAATCACAGCATGGGGCAATTACTGTGTGAAAATTATAGCACAAGGTGTTCAGCCTGTTCCCAGATACCTTTTATTTGATTAAATAATTTAGAGACAATCTTTGATGAGAAAAAGTATATAGTTTGCAGTTTTACCTGGCCTTCAAAGATTTAGGAAAATACTTTTTTTTCATCAAGTTCTGAGGATCCTAAGTCTTTTTGCAATTCAAAATATTACTTTGCTGCGAAATGCTGGGCATAAGAAAAGAAGGTGTTCTGGTGATGCAGTAACCAAAATATTTACACTGCAGTACAATTACAGCACTTGAACACTTCTGAGAATTTGATGCATTTTTTATTGGATCTGGGACAAATCAAGACCGACAATTGGAAACAGGGCCAATTCAAGGCAGAGCAGGGCGTATGATCAGCCAGAAACTTTTTGAGACATGAACAATAAATCAAGACAGATACATTTTGAGACAAAATGTCTTGACTGTTGTGCTCATCCATAATATTTTATGTTGAAGGTGCGAAAAGGAACAAGAATTGCGCTGTTTTGTGAAAAGTTCTGCTATTTTTTCCACATGAACAAATAATTGAGATGATAAATGGATATAATGAGGACAATAAAAACAGCATCTAGGGTTCTTCTTGATTGATTTCCTTCTCTTCTGGATGTGTGATCTGCAACACTACTTCTTATGATGACTGAGCAAATGCATTTCATATATTGAAGTGCCACAACAAGTTACCATATTTACTTGAGTACCACTTGCACCTTTTTTCTAGAAATTGAGGCAGAAAAAAAGGGTGCGCGCGGTACTTGGGGATAAATTTTAGGGAAAAATTCCCAAGACCAGTGCCTTTCACATCCAAGTAAAAACAAAAAATTGAAGAGGAAATGTGGGGAGCCAAGTCTCTCCCTGCATGAGGAATAATGGCTAAATTTGTTTCATCCCTTGGAAATGCAACAGGAAGTCAAGAAAGAAGGTAATATTCATCTAATTGAGGAAGCTCTCCTGAATTAAAAATGCATTTCAACTGCTTCTGTGCATGGAAAAAGACAGAAGCACAAAATATTGATGAGGAAAAATGAATTTACAAATTAAAAAGATTTCACTTTTTTGATTTTCAACAACAACAAAAACAGGGATGCACGTCTTACCTGATGGCACATGGTACTTGAGTAAATACGGTACTTGATGGAGCCAAAGTATCATGTACCAAAGGGATATGCTGGAGGCATGCTTTATTTGCTTCTAAAGATCTTCTGCTGTTTCAATGAAATGAAAAATGCAAATATAGTTTGAAACTGCTGGCATCTGAAAGAGTTCATTTGGATAATGAAACATCCTTAAAAGCCATTCTATAGTCAATTTAAATATTCAACAGGAATCATACCATTCACTTGTGTTCAAACATTTAGTAATTTGCAAAAAAAAAACACTGCATATTTCAATAAAATTTTATTCTGAACACATTTCCGCAACGTCATCAGTAAACATAGTCACCAAAGTTCTAAGATTGTGTGATTCCACCATCAGAAGCAGGAGACAATAAACCTCGTATAGAGAAAAGATGAGAGCTGTAGAGAATAAAAGTCAAAAGGTCGTTTCTAAAATATTGTACACCATCACACAATCTCGTTGAAATGCCCAGGGGACAGAATAAAAAGAAGAAACGAAACAAAAACACACACACACACACTCATAAATTTTATCCCCAATTTTTCCCTCTCATTCGTTTCCTTTTCTTTTCGAAATATATAGGCAGTGGTGTAAAGGGAACATTTCCGCGGATGGATGATTTCCTTCTCTTTTTTTCCCCTGCGTTTAAACCACAATAAAAAGAAACAAATTCCACGGGTTTCTTGGGATTCATTTCCCGGGAATTTTCAGCTTTAGTCACTTATTGGCAGAGAACATACAAAAATACCGGGTGAATCAGCTATTTTTGAGAGAAAAACATTCCACAAAAAAAAACAAGCAAAAATGCTCTTCAGTTTTCCCCATAGCTCTATGCTTGTTCTTTTTTCTGTCCCTCTTCTACATGTCCCTCATCTCCCCTTCCAAAAATTGACACTTAATGTGCAAAACTCAGTGCTTCAGCAACCAAGCATGAAAAGCGTTTTCTTATGGCAGTATTTAAAAATCTTGCACCAAATGTACCATAATACCCACCATGTAGACAGACCTCACTTCAATTTCTCTCCTGCAAATTCCAAATCTAGGGCATATTTTCAAGACATGTGTCATTTTTGTGTGTGTGCAAAAATTGATTCAAATGACGGGATGCCATTATTTTCATTTTGGCACAAACAAGAGGAAAGTTAACTAGTGTATTCATGAGAAACCAGTTGGCAAAGTTCTGGGTAAATTTTTCTCCACCAGCATATCAGGTATATATATTGAATGAGACCAAGTGAAAAACATGTAGAATCAAATCAAATTATAATTGATTATTCAGACAGCCATGGCTGGATTTACATTACAGGTATGGTACTTTAGCACCCTTTTAGCACCCTGAAATTTGTCCATCATGCCATTTGACGGTCATATTTGCTGAAAGGTTGACTTGCAATTTGGCCTCTGTCCCACAATTTAACCCAAATAGAGACACAAAACATCAAATACAATTTAGAAAATATTGCATTTGACATCTACAAAATTTGATTCTAGTCCAGAAACAGATTGGGGTTGAATTGCAAGGCGCTATCTGTAATGCATGAATCTGCACAATTTTCCCCTTCAGCAGGTGGCTTGATATAATTAAGCTACTGAATTCATTTCATGGTCCACAGAGCAGATTAAATTTGTTCTCTTCCTGATGTTTTTTCTATAAAAATTAATTTACCTATTGGCACATTTAATACAGAAGGTTGATGGGTATGGCACCTATATCTTTTATGGAATGGATGATCATTCATGGGAAATATATGCATCCTGGTATATACTGTATGTGTATGCATGCTCATGTAATGTGTTAATTGGAGTTGCAGTTGCGCTGGTCCCATATATGACAACAAGTCCGAATTTTGCAAATCAAGTCAGAAATATGGCAGTGGATGAGCAGATACAGCAGAACATCACCAACAACAACTAATACAGGATGACAGAACGAAGCAGATGGAACATATACGAATATGGTTCGGTCACTCCAGCACATCAGTCAATTATACGGTGTATGGATGGTCATCTACCCCCGCGGGTAGTTATTGATGTAGCCATCATTGGTGTTGTCCAACCCGCCCAACTGCTGTTGCTGCTGCTGCTGTTGATTAGGAGGGAGTTTGACGCAGACGCGACATCTAGACACCTTCTCGCGCAACCGGTTGCCCTTGAGCGTCTGCGGCTTCGGGCTGGCGAACTCGCGGCCGTCCACTGTGGCCAACCAGAAGCTGAACTTGTTGGCAAAGTAGTGGCAGGTGCCACGGCCGCCGTTGCACTCGATGAACGGCGTCGCCCGGAAGTTCTCCAGACACGACCCCGGGCTCGAGAGGCTCTGGCCGCCGCCTTCGGAACCGGCGCCAGTGTGCTGGAATTGATTAATTGAGAAAAACAAAAAGTTGCAGCAGGGTATACAGTACTGTGAATATGGAACGAGATTCCAGCATCAGCATAATTATTGAATTAAGTGTACAGTACTGCTGTACAGTATATAGTCAAACCTTTTCAAGTCAAACTAACAGGTATCTTCTTGACTCAGCAAGACTTTGCTTTATAATGAATAAAAAGAGCATTTTGCAGCAGAAACAATTCATTATTATTAATACTTGACTACCTCACTCATTTTTTATTCAATTTCAAAATCAAGGCAGGAAAGTGGGGGGGGGGGGGTGTGCAGTGTGTGGTTCAAAAGAAAAAAATGTCCTGTTTCCCATATTCAATTCACAATGTTTTTGCATATACACAGGCACATTTATGTTGGACTGAAGGTCACCAAAGTAATGCCCCTGATGCTTGGCCAGCTGAGTAGATCCATGTTGAGAAAATAGTATACTGTAATCCATCAGTAGAGTTAACCCTTCTGCGGCAAAGTTGGACCTTTTTTTGCAGATTTTGGTTGCACTCAAGAGTGGAATTTTAAAAACCCTAACAGTGTGTGCAGGGCAAAATTGGGGGAAATCCTGGCATTTTTTAAATTTCCCACAGAAAAATATCACCTGAAAATGAAAAAAAAACTTCAAGGCTCCCCTTTTTTCCCCCTGGCCTTGTGTTGTTTCCCCATTCGAAGATTAAATTTAAGCTTGAAAGCCAGGAGCGCAGGTTAGAGGTAAATAAGGAAGAAGTCCAACTCAGGACTTTCCCAGCATTTCTGCTGCTGCCGCCCAAGGGTTAATACTTGACTAACACACTCATTTTCTAAATTTCAAAAGCAAGGCACAAAAGTGGGGTGTGTATGGTATGTGGTTCCAAAAAAAAGAAAAAAGAAAAAAATGTTCCATTTCTGATATTCAATTCAGGATGTTTTATTGCTTATATATGTGCATACACAGGCACATTTCTGTTGTACTGAGGGTCACCAAAGTAATGCCCCTGATTATGCTGGGCCAGCTGTGTATAGATTCAAGTTGAGAAAATATTGTAAACCATCAAGTAGAGGTAATAATAATACCGTATTTACTCAAATACCACACGCCCTCAAGTAAGGCGCGCACAGGGGTTTTTCAGTTGGAAATTTTGCTAAAATTGTATACCCTAGTAAGATACGCACCCCAATTTTTAGTGAATCTAAAACCATAAAATTTCAAAAATAAATTCCAAAATTTTGACNTTTAGTGAATCTAAAACCATAAAATTTCAAAAATAAATTCCAAAATTTTGACTTTAGACATGAATTGAACAAAAATTGGATCAATTTTCAACTTTTTCAGTACAAAAAAGTTTTCTTGTTACATTTGTTTGAAATTTCTCCATTATAATCAAGTATGTAATGCACACATTACTTCCTAAAAATTCTTGGAAAACTTGTACCCACTTATGATGTGCACCCCTTTTTTTCTTCTGACATTTGCAAAAAAAAAGGTGCGTGTGGTACTTGAGTAAATACTGTAATATTAATATCATCCTTTCGTTCCCAGATCGAAATCTTCCCTGGTGCTCATTCAATTAATACTGTACGTATATATAGGCACCAACCATGGCGAAACTGTAGCCGTTCCAGAGCTCTCCCCAGCCCTGGGGACAGGGCGGCACTTGCAGGCTCTGGCTGTGCACCGCAATGACGGTGGCCGGCGCCTCGCAGACGACGCATCGCGAGATAAAGGGCTTGATGGCGTCCTCGCCCACGGGCATCATGGGGATGGCCTGGTTCGTGGACAGCCAGTAGCTCTTGTCGTTCCTGGTGGCGTAGTTGCACACGCCGTTGTAGTCGCAGAACAGGAAGGGCATGGTGCTGAACCTCCTGATGCAGGAACCAGCAAGGCCTATATATATATATATATATATATACACACATGCAATATTCAATAATGCATGTACAATGATGATGAAATGATGGAACAGGATATGCATTATTATTAGCCCATCATGATTTGCATGAAGGAAAATCTCATTTACAACAAATACTGCTGCATCATATTTTTCATTCTATAGCAAATGTTTTCCTGGAGAAGTCCAAGCAGAAACCCCATGGAGTACATGCTGAAAAAGTCTTGTTGAAAAAAAACTTCCCCAATTCCAGTACAACAAACTTGCATAAGGAACATTTAACCCTTGGATGGCAGAGGGTTCCTGGCTATCCTGTGGCATAGTTGAGATTATTTTTTTGCGTAGGGGCCTTTCAGTTTGACCATAGGTCACTGAAATGCCCCCAGGTTGCCAAGGCCCAAGCCAGGAAAAATCTGGGTGCAGAAAGTTCCATTGTCTACTGAAATTCCCTATGCTGGGAATGCATGAATAAATGCCACTCAGTGAATACAGTAATACTTTACTTTTGAGGCAAAATTTTCTGCAGGATTATAAAAAAAAAATATATTTGACTATTTCCGAACTCAGGCCTTGGTACAAAAATCAGATTTTCAAAAAGATACAAAGCTCATGGGGAAAATATTTGGCAAAAATATACTGACTTTGCCGCACAAGGGTTAATCCTTCTGCAATGAAGTTCAACGTCTTTTTTTACATATTGGATGCACCTCAGGTTGACATTTAAAAAACAATAAGTGCGTGCAGGGCAAAGTTATGAAAAAGCCTGGTGTTTTTTTTTTCTGTGCAGAACAATGTTAACAAATGAAAAAATGCCACTTCAAGGCTGAGCTTTTTTTATTCTTTAGCTTGTACTTTATTGTTGCATCATTCAAGGACTAATCTTAAGCTGGAAGGCCAGGATCCCATTTAGGGGGTTTCAGCGGAAAAAGTCTGACTTTGCACTTTCCCAGCACCCTGCAGGGATTTCATAACCTTGTGCAAAACTCAAATGCACACCCACACAATAAAAATCGAATGTTGCCCTAGGATTGAAAGGAACCCTTTACTATTTAAGGGTAAAAATAGATATTCACAAGCAGAAATTTCTTGACCAAGGTAGGCACAGTCTGAAATTTCTGATCCCAAGTGTGACTGACTGGTTCTTATATCGTAGAATGGATGAAAGTTGCATAATGCTTTCAAGTACAGTGGTTCCTGGCTTCCTGCACACATCCATATAAGGGGTGCATCAGATGGAATGCATGATTGAATATATTTATTTTTTTCAAAAGATCACTCAGTTTTTCTAACAGTATTAAACCATATGAGAATACCAGGAAAGAAAGATCTAATTGATCAAAGGCGAGTCTGCTGTGACAGTTTTTTTTTCAGTCATTTTCAACCCTTTTCTGAGCTCCTTTTTCTTTTCTTTCTCTTCTGGTAAGTCCCCAAAAGTTTGTGGTAATGAGATTTCAGTGTTTATGAATTTGTTCCATGAAGCAGGAGCTGTGAAGTACTGTACTGTACTGTACCTAAATCTTGGGAGTGCGCCTTCTCGTTGCCCTCGATGTAGAGTAAGCTGTAGCCGTCCCAGAGTTTGACCATAGGTGTCACTCCTGTTGAGGGGCATTCTGGCGTCTCCGAGCCCTGACTGTGTCGCACGAACATAAGCCCGGTCATGGGGATTTGTTGGGAGGCCGAGCAACCCGGCCCTCTGCTGCCCTTTTCTCCGGGTGCCCCGGGTGGACCCTGTATATTTCATCAACGAATGGCTATTATTACAATGACTGTTATTATGAAGAATCCAGCAGATATATTTTTATACAAGAAATAAATGCTGCATTATACGGGATATAATTTCTTTCTGGTGGGGGGGGGGGAATGGGGTAGGTTTAGAAGTATATATTCTAAAAATTATTCTGGCTCAACTATAACTTTTTCAAAGGAAATTAAAGAGCATTCAGGAATCACCAGTATCCTGATTCAGATTGATCAAAATTTGTCTGCTGTGGTATAAGGATGAAAAAAATTTGAAGCAAGGTGGTGCTAACTTAATTATTCTCCAATTCTGAAAGAATACTTCTCAATTGCTGCTTCTCAGTGGTTGATATCTCAGGGCAACTTTGAGATTTAGCATCATTCAAACAAAGACTGATATCATGATTTGCACAATACATTGGAAGCAGAAACATGCAATAATCAAAATAAAACTGCATTTGTTTGCATTTTATTAGAGTGATTAGACTGCCTGATGAACATTTATAAAAAAAAATACAACCAAGGTTTATAAACAAGTGTTGAATATTCCTGCACCATGAGGAGTATAATACAAATATTTTGGGCCTACTTTGGCGGAAGAGTGTTCAAATGAGGATGTGAATCATCCAAAAATAGGATCTCAACTATAGTTAGTTAGGACTTAGCTCTGTCGTCTATTATACAGTAGACTTTGGAGTAAGCTGCCCAAAATGTGTGATGAACCACATTCCAACTCTCCTGTGGTGTTTGGAAAAAAAAAGACACATTTACAGCTGTACAATACAGTACAGTAGTGTGATTTTAAAATATGCTGTAAACAGCTCTTACCCTGGGACCCTCCAAACCAGTGAGACCAGCAGCCCCCTTGTCTCCTGGCCGTCCAACAGGACCTCGCAACCCGTCCAGACCAGCTTCTCCCTTCAATCCCTTGATGCCTTGCAGCCCCGGTGGGCCATCAAAGCCTGGTCTCCCAGGCTCGCCTGGCAGTCCCGGCGGGCCAGGTGGGCCCTGTTCTCCCTTGGCGCCAATGCCTCCTGGCAACCCTGGCGGACCCTTGTCGCCCTTCAGCCCGGGTCTGCCAGGGGATCCAAAGTTCCCTGGAAGGCCCTCGGGTCCTCTTTCGCCCTTGAGCCCAGTGAGTCCTCTGGGACCCGGCGGGCCAGGTGGCCCTGACAATCCTTGCGGTCCTATACGCACAGAAACATTTTCCAACTTCTCTATACACCATTGTTTTCTTCAAGCAACATTAAAACTACTGTAGCTGTATATATTGTCAGAAATCGCCATATCTGTATAAATAGCATTGTCGCATTGAATTGTTTCATGCTGTGCTGTTGAGCCTAAAATTTGTCATTTCAATTCTATGATTACCAGTACAGTACATGTATATGCATTTGATGAAATGCAGATGCCTCAAGGTTTTCTGCCGTGTTTTTTTGTTTTTTGTTTTGTTTTTTGGTTTAAATAGAAAAAGGTCTGCAGAAACCAAACACAAGACTCACCGGGTAATCCAAGGTCTCCCTTTGGTCCAGGCAAACCCGGGGCTCCAAAATAACCAACGTCTCCCTTCATGCCGGGTGGGCCTGAAGGGCCAGGTGGCCCACGAGGCCCATAGTCACCCTTGGCCCCCGGCACACCGGGTGGCCCAGTGCGGCCATCACTTCCTTTGTCGCCCTTGAGCCCCAGTGGCCCAACTGGGCCTGGTTCCCCTGTCACCCCGGGTAAACCCGGCAACCCTGGCTCACCCTTGCCACCCGACAGCCCAGACAACCCGGGTTTCCCTGGTTTCCCCGGCAAACCCGGCAGCCCCTTCTCTCCGTGAATCATCAGGCCAGGTGGGCCACGTGGCCCAGAGTCCCCCTTGATGCCAGGCAAGCCATCCAGGCCCGGCTGGCCCGGGATCCCAGCTGCTCCTCGGTCTCCCTTGGTCCCGTCTCTGCCTGGGGTTCCCGGGATCCCCGGGTTGCCCTTCTCGCCGTGGTCCCCTGCGATCCCTGCGACCCCCGGGTCTCCCTTCTGTCCTTTCTCGCCCAGCGTGCCGGGTTCTCCAACTGGGCCACCTGGCCCACGGTCTCCCTTGAGCCCCGGCAAGCCCGGGAACCCAATGGGACCCCTGTCCCCTTTGTCCCCCTTGGCCCCGTCCAGGGCTGCCTGTCCCGGCAACCCTCGCTCTCCTTTGGACCCCGGCAACCCGGGCCAGCCCTGGTCGCCCTTGTCACCCGTGGCCCCCGGCACTCCGTCGAGGCCGGGCATGCCTGGCCCACCTCGGTACCCGGGGGCACCCGGGTTGCCCTTGAGGCCCATGGGCCCGACTGGGCCAGAGTCGCCCTTGTCGCCTGAGATGCCGTCGAGGCCAGGTAGTCCGACTCGTCCGGGTTCTCCCTTGGGGCCAGTGGGGCCGGGTCTGCCAAAGCCAGGGACACCCTTTTCTCCTGGCAGTCCTGGCAATCCTGGGGGACCCGGGAAACCCAGGTCACCCTTGAGTCCTGACAGTCCAGCGACGCCCTTTTCTCCCTTGTCGCCACTGAGGCCTGAAGGACCTCTGTCACCCTACAGAAGAGAAAGGGAAAAACAAATTAATGAAATGAAAGCAATTTTATGTTTATAGAATTTATAGTTGAATGCATACTTAAAAAAAAAAGTGGATTGTTGTATGGATGTTTGGGAGGTGATGTGAGAAAAAAAAAAGCTTTTGAACCTGATGCAAATAAAGCATTTACAGTACAGCAATCAGCCAAAATGCCTTCCTCCACAAATTTTTTTGGAAAAATATAACCTTCTGATTCATAATTCTTTCAAGTTTTTTTTCATTATTCATCCACATGCTTGTATTTATGTGCAGTATTTTACGTTTATAGAATTTATCAGGTGTGATGACAATAAATAACAAGTCACTGTTTCACCCCAAGAATGTCAGACAAAATTCAGACACACTCAAATATGCACCAATTAAATGAAGCACAAACTACAGTATATTCACAAGTATATCATTGGATGATCTTGAAACTTTCTTGAAGACCAAAGATTCAAAAGCAATCCATTCTAAATTTCAAATGCATATCATCAGAAACCAGAAAAGCAAGCTCTCTATAAAAATGCTGTGTACATCACATGCATTATTATTAAACTTGGAAACACTGATTAACAGTACATTTTTATTCCAATTTCGTACTGCCAGTGACATATATGTATAACCCACATTAAAATAAACTGTCATTTGAATAAGAGACATATAGTGAGACAACTCTCTACATACTT